CAATTGTAGAGTCAGTGAAGAGCCAGGAAGCTGAAAGGGCTGAGCCCGGGTAACGAGCTCTGGGGTGGGTAATTAATGCCTCCATTTCCCCCGTTGGTATTGTCAGGGGGGAGGTGGCATTGATCAGAGCGAGATCAGGCCTGAGGGAAGTGGGCGACAGGCCGAGGGCACCACAGGGGGGATTAAGTCAAAATGTGGAACAGAAAATAGGGATGGACGGACGGATGGATGGAGAGGTGAAAGAAAAGGAGAAAAAGAAGAGAAGGGAGGGTGGGGGGGCTTCAAGCCTGGCAAAGTCGTTCCTCTTGAGATGGGTCTTCCGCTGGGGCTGGCTACTCTGTCAAAAAGCCTGCAGCGCTGACTGACACTTCAAACCAGTAAAAAACACACTGTAGTTTTGTACTCTTCTATCAGAATTGTAAAGCAGAGACATCCAGAGGGAAAATGATGTGGAATCCAAAGCTGCAGCTCATACAGTAGATGCTGTAGATACCATACTTGTCAATAATTTATAAATATGACAACTAACACCACCCATGATTCAAGAAATAAGGTTATAGAGGCAAAGAACGCATATCAGCCACTGTGCAAGGTCAGTCAAAAGAAAAACACAACACCCTGTAATGGTGCGTCACCTAAACAAATGTAAGTGCTCACATAACCAGAACTGAACTGCCACTAAAATAGCAAGAAGTCGGGAAAAAGCCAATTGATACTGTGAAACAACAGAATACGCAATTCACTTTTCTCTACCCCGAGGGACTTAGTCACCACGTATTAAAGAACGCAGTGCAATATAAAAAAAAAGAAGCCAGGAGCCACATGGGAGTAAGTGGAGTGACCGTGGCAGCCACCATCGCTCTTACTGCGACATCTTTAGCTGTAGTCTCCCTGACCCTGTCTCTGTTTGCCTGGGAGGCAAGGCCTGGCACTGTTGACGATAAAACAAACAGACAGGCCCCATTTATACAGTCAGGTGTCATGACAAGGGATAAACAGCCGACCGCTTCAGGCCTCTTGAGGCACAGTCTGCACTAATAGAAGGGGGCTATCATCATCCTCATCCTCACCATCACCCTCATGATCATTATCATCAAGAACAGCAATAGTGGTGTTGGCAGAAGCTCCTAGGTGCCTGCTGGGAAACGGACGAGTACTGACTCAGATTGAACAGAACTCAAGGGCTGCTCTGTTTACTTTGTCGGGCTGTATTCATTCGTGTCAGTGAATTAATCGAGTCAAAAAAAAAGCAATTGCCAAAAACATTGCTGGGGAAGAGGGGGTGTGAAGAAAAAAAAAAAAAAAAAGAACAGTCTCGAGTAGAGCGAGGCGGCTGTGGCAAGCACGCGGCGGGAATGACAAGAGTGTGGCTGTCATCGCGAGGGATGAAAAACAGCACCTCTCAAACGAGGCGAGGCAGCGGCTGCCTCTTGCGCCAGCGAGGAAGGGGATGCGCGGGGACCACAAACGCAATTATCTTCACGCCAGCTTTGTTGTTTGTCAGAACTGGCACGCATTTAAGGACTTGGGTGTACTGATTATATGACACCCGGAGAGCCTTCGGGGTGGACAAGAGGCAGCCGGCAGGGAGTCATTACCCAAGCCAAATAGACTTCTCATTTATTTTTCCGTCGGGGTAAAGCATCAACAGGAATAAACAATGGCTGATAGATACTCAATCACCAAAGGCGTGCACCCTTGCACTGGGTGTTTTTCCTTTTGAAGATCCAATTACAAAGTCCTAGCATCAAATCATGGGAAATAACAGCTCATATGTGGTGTATGAATCCAAAAAAGGTTGTCGGGGCACCCTTAGGACTGTGTTCAGATACGAGTTGGTGTCTGGGAGTGAAATCACATATGACCACCTGACAGATGGCATAATGTGGGCACAGGGGTTATTTTCTGACAGTGTGAAAATCATGGTGCTGGCACCTTTCAATATCGCCAGCTGGTCTTTTTCATAGCATTCCGTCTAATTTAGGCAGAAAAAAAGAAAGCTATTTTCTTCATTTTGTCATGCTTCCCCAGAGTGTCACCATCTTGCCCTGAGTGTAAAGCTTTGTGAAAATATTCTGAAAGCTGGTACTTAATAGCAGCTATTCTGAAAATACCTGTTGACAACCTGCAATCTCCTTGCCAGACATAGACGATCGTCCACACTGGCGGCACACAGCGTACAGTCTGCTGGTCCAATGCCAAGGTCACACACACACAGAGAGAGACGGGATGGGTGAGTCCAAACACGGTGAAAAACCGCGGGTGAGGTGTTTCCTCTATACATGACTAGACAGGCCACAGGGACAGACGCAAACAGCCACACCAGCAACTTCGGGTTTATAAATTTAAAGCTATAAACTACATCATATCCCCAAAATATGAGCCACTTAAGAGTTCAGTATGACTTCTGAGCATGTCTACACCTGTTACAAGCTCAAAGGCGGGGTGAGACTCAATGAATCACACAAAAGAGGATAACAGCCTCTCTTCAGAGCATCCATGGTGTTGCACTTCCACTTACATACATACAAGACTAACTAATTAGGTAAGTCTCCACTGATATACTAGCTGAGGCTTTGTCTTCAAGCCTCTAACCAAAGCGTCTTTATATCTTTCTTTGCTCTGATTGGTTGTTTACGTCCAGGTCCGGTGGATTCATGCAAATGCCATTAGGAGCACAAAGAGGAGCCAGAGGAACCAGATTCGCTCACAGATTATCTGTCTCCTGTATTATTGTCTGCATATAGTTTTTTTGTTACCGACTGCAACTTTATGAATATCTATACAGAAATATTCAATATTCTCGCTGATGGTCTTGTTTATGTATGTTGTACAGTCAGTACTGACGGCCTCAGTATTAAATTGAGGCTGTTTCATAACCAGTTAAAAACTCATTCAAGCAGGTATGTTTACCATGTTCACCATCTTAGTTTTGCATGGTAACACTTGCTAATTGGTACTAAGCCCAAAGTGCAGCTGAGGCTCATGTCATTAATATTTGCAGATATGTGGTAGCAAACCAAAGACTGCAAAAGTTAAAGATGAAAATAGAGAGCTTGAAGAAAAAGCTTAAATGTCACCTGAAAACAGTGACAGTGCAACTTCAGATTTGGAAAAGTTACAAAAACTTTAATTCCAAATTCGGCTCCACTTGAAGCATACTGATGCCTTTAACCATAAAGTTCTCTAGGGTCCAGTGTGTAACATTTAGGAGGCTCTATTAGTAGAAGTGGAATATAATATTCATAGGTATGGTTTCATTAGTGAATATAGGAATCATGTTAGTGTTACCTTAGAAAGAGCTGTTTTTATCTACAGATGCCGTGGGCCGCCTTCCATGGGCTCATGTTGAACTGCCATTTTTCTACAGTAGCCCACATGGCACAAACCAAACAGTGGCTCTAGATAGGGGTGTTCGCACTTTATATAAGTTTCTTGGCCACCGTAGCTTTTCCTTTGTGCTCGAAAGGGGAGGGTGAAACTAGGGTGTTGCAATCTACACACAGGTCAAAAAAATTAAAATCAAGAAATGAACAAAAAGGAGAAATGAGTGCTGTATGTTGGCCCTTATTCATTGGGATTCTCAGATGCTTCTGTCCTCTTTGTTCCAAGATACAGACTAAGTGGCGAAGGTGACAGAGACTTTGCAGGGCTCTTTCAGATCACCACAAATTATAAAATTACTACGAACTTAGTTTTGTCGTGTTGTCGTATTGATTTGTCTTATTCTGAGTGCTCTACATAATTAAAGTAGATTATTATGATGTGATATCTTTAGACCAACAGCAAACTGAAGAGATGTACTGTCATCTAATCCTGGGATGTCACATTAGACATGCCATGTGTGCCAACTCATTTCCCCAACTATGCCCACTTTCAATTGATAAATGAATCATCCATCCATCTTATACAGAAGCTTATTCAGAGCGATGTGCTGGTTGCTTGTTAAATAATGTGGTACAGGAACAACAGTATTTCATCAAGCAATTATGTACTAAAATTGTAGCCTTTTATCCAGACCAGCCTTCCAGCACTATATATTAATGACATTGCTGTATGTTGGATATTTATGGTGCAGGGCCTTGCCTTTAGCCATTATTCTTACAATATAATTTATAGTCATTCAGTCCGTTTGTGAAAAAAACATTAATTTACCCCTCAACCCGGAAGAACTGTTATGGAGTTAAAAGAGTCCTCCAAGCGTTAATGCTTTTATCCAAATTTTCTCCATTATAGCATACTTCCATGGGCACATAGTCCCTCTGTCAAGTTTCTGCTTCTATTGATGGTGCAATTCCAATCACTTAATTTACCAAGAGCAGCATCGCAGACGAGAGCTGCTCATTTCCATTTATCGAAATCCCATTTCTATTCCATCTGCTAACTAGTCACCTGTGAAACTAGTTTTTAACCATGATTTGAAAGTGCACTGGCTTCGGATGTCTACCCCATCCCCTTTACTAGTGTTTATTCCCAACCATAAAAACCGCTGGAGGGGCACACACTGCCAGCGCTGGTCGTTACATTGTAAAACACCATGGCAGGGTGGCACACAACATTGCGCGTTGAGAAGCTAAGTGTGTCGAGGAGGAATTAAAGAATAAATTTCCCCTTCCAATTAAAAGACGTATTTGTGCAACGTGAGCGGAGGAAGGGAACATTATCAATGAGGGGAAGAAAACACACTGTTACAACTCAGGAGGCACAATTACTGAGGATTGTGGTATGCAATTAAATAGTGCTATTTAGACAGCCCTGCTCCCTGCTAATAAACACAGAACATATAGAGGAGACAAAACAGGCTTTAGATGTACCTCCGAATCCCAACAGCTGGGGGAACAGATGACTGAAAAGTAAACACAAACAGTGGCAAAATGACTACATCAAAGGAAGATGAGGCGACAAGACTATACATTCACATAAAGAGCCGACTCTGAGAAATGTAACTATTCACGGTCTTGAAGCCTAAAGGTAAAATCAGCACTCGTGCAAAAACACTCTTGAAAAAAGAACATCACAGGTTTTATTGTGAAAGATGTAGTTTCCCAGGGTATGATCCAAACGAAATGTATGTAGGGCAAGCACCACACTACTCCCACACTGTTATAAAGCATGTTTGAGTCATTGCGCCCCCCCCTTTTCTACGCAGCCCCTCAAAATCATACTCTGTGCGTGGAGCTCACTAGCATTGTTAAAAATGTACAATATAAAGCTTTAAGCTACAAGTCAAAATGGGTTACAGAAGAAACTTAAGTAAGTAAGTGGAAATCAATTGGTAAATGAGTCCTTTTTTTTAATGTCTCAACCCTACCTTCATTTCAGAACATCTTAAACATTGGATACTAGAACAAACTCACTAATCCTCCCTATTCTCCCCACTTGTCCCCCCCTCTGTGCTCTTGATTTTCATGACTATGCCTGATCTTTGTACTGCTGGTGCAGCATGAGCACGTCTTCCTGGGAGACCCTGGTCCAGCCCTCGCTGTGGACGTGGTACAGGTTGACCTGCCCACCGCTGTAGGCGTCACGGAATGTGGCCTGGTAGATGGCGCGGCGACCTAGCTCACAGGCCTCCTCCACAGACAGGTCGTGCTGCAGGCCACTGTCCATCACACCATAGGCGTACATGGAGCCAGAGCCCACGGCGAACAGGTCGCCGCACACCCGGTTCCCCTCAGAGTCGACATAGTACAGCCCTGAGGACAGAGGACAAAAGACAGGTCAAGAGGGTGGGAAGGCAGAGGAGGAAACAGTGTAAAGGGAGTTGTGTTCGATGCACGAGCATCCTCCGTTCTCCTGACTCAGGTGTTGAGCTTTGTCAGGAAAACTGAGATGGTGTACATCTAACACCGCAGCTCTCACACAAACAAACACACAAACTTGTAAGCGCACACACGCCATGTCCTCCAGAGAGAGGATATGAACAGCTGCAACCTCTCCAAGTGAAGTAAGGCTGGCAGATATGAACAGCTGCATCCTCTTCAAGTAAAACGAAGCCGGCCGCGGAACCTGCTGACGAGGCGCGGGCCACATCGCTGTCTGCCCAGTGGCCCTGCTCTGGGTCTTATTGATCCCTGCAAACACGCCAAAAATTAACTATCGATCCGCAACCCGAGCTGTGCAGGTAACTGCACCTCGCACCTCAAGGAGGACAAAAAAACAACAGCGCGCTCACATCCTGAGAACATCAGAAGAGCACAGCACATTCATATCCTTCCACCCATACACTTGCTCCTACGCAGACATTTTCTTCAGCTCCTCACATACGCACAGTTGAATGACACATGAAGGCGCGAGCTCACCCCACAACGAACTGGCCATACGTGTAATCCCACATGCACTGTAGACCCACAATGCTCTGGCGGACCTGTGAGGGACAGTTTGCTCTACACCACGCTACGTGGACACATGCGAGACATTTTGTTCCGCGCCATGACACACTCGCTAGGCCTGATCCCACAATGACGTGGAACGGGTGACTAGCACCAGCCTGCGAGCTCGCCCACAGCCAGCCTGCAGATGGTAAAAAGACAGCCTGCAAAAAGGCATGTTTTTCATAGCGCTTCACAAAGCGAAACCTGTGAAAATGATACTCACACAGAGATACGCAGGGACACATGCATATAAAATTACCTAATATCCACCTCTATCGCTCATCTCCCACATTAAAAAACACTTCAAAATGCCCCCAGAATGCACATCCTCGCTTGCAAAGTTCCTCTGCTAAACTAGTGACAGTCTATTAGGGGTAGAGAGCCACTTGCTTTTCTGAAGGAAAAAAAAGGAGGGGGTTACCATTGCTTTCAACTGGCAAATTGCAGCTTCCTCAGCCTGTCGTTAGCTTGCCATGATAATCATCCAGTGCCTGCCTATGCACGGGGGTAATTTGCCATTCTGAGACCTGCCTGTTCCTCTTGAAAACTGTAAGGGACTCGTTAAAAACATAATAGGCAGGGAGAGAGAGTTGTAAAGGCAGCCTCTTGTGTTGAGTAGCACAGTTGACGGAGGTGGATGAGGACTCTTTAGGAGGTCCAAGTATAGAAGCAGAGCGGCAACCAAAAAACACTTCCCACATCCATTCCTTTCCAAACACACCTGGGGTCTTTGTAGAGCCCAATGCGATAACGCTTAACGGTCTCTGCACCTCAAACACTGACGCAGAAAAGCATGAAGGTGGAGACGAGTGCTCAGAAAACCAAAAAGGGGGAGTGAAATTCATGAGGCCCTACTTAAAGCGAAAGCAGGAGCACGCTGCCTGGATGGTGGAGCATTGCAGCAGTGGTAAGCCAAGTGAGGCTCCTTCCACTCCATCGATCAAATGACAGGTGCCTAAAGAGCCTTTTTTTAAACAGCAGGCTGTGTTTTTAGGTGGTGGGTGAGGAGCACAGATCGATGGGTGGGTGGCTAGCATCAAACGGGTCAGCGTCTGTCCGTCATCTGTCCTTCCCACTGGACCACGAGTAAAAAGAGAGCAGCAGATGAACGGGGGGGGGGGAACACACACTATTACATCACTCTCTTGGGAGTGGCTGTAAAACTGGCTGCCACATGGGTCTTCTCTGACAAGGTCTTGTATCATACACTTTCTTCTTTTTTTGTCATGGGGGCTATATCCAATATCAGTTTACTGGCAAAACCCTTTCTGTCTCTGAAGTGAGGGTGCTATGCGGAGTATAGTTGCTTTTCTCTGTCGAAAGCAAAGCCACTATCGAGTGATCAAGCTTTAACTATGCACTGATGAAGTGTCATAACATTTAATTTTATTACATTGAGCCATATTTGACAAGCTCCTCAACATAGCTTTTATTTGATTTATTTTTCATGCAGCTTAAGACACTCCATCAGGGGAATAAGTGCTCTTGACATGATTGTAGCCGGCTAATGAGCTTCCCGCCTAATCGCGATTGATTTAATTTACATGACATTTACCTCTCCATTCAATCATTGGCATTGTGGGGGCCATGGCAAAGCTCCCACACCTATTGAACTTATACAGGGATCATTATTTCCCCAATTGATTGCCCGGGATTTAACATGTGTCATTTACGTTTGTTGGTATACCGGTGGGCCGTCATTGTTCACACAGCCAGCTCCGCTTTCCAGACAAAGCCAGCATCGATCTCAGCGGGTGTACGGGCATTATGCATGCGACCCAATTGTCCGGGGCTTAGACCCAACGTCCATCATCCCGCCACGCTCTTGCTGGCCCGTAGTCCCAGCCTCATCGATTTCCCATTACTGTGTCACTGTGGCGGCCTCTTTAAGCACACCTTCTGTGATGTACGGCCTCACACTGCGTGGCATCCGTAAGCCACAGCTTAAATATACAAAGAGGGGCAGAGTATAAGAGAGGTTACAGTACCATCTAGTGGGGAACTCTGGGAACTACACGTGTGTTTCTACTTTCCTAAAACAGCACAAATAACCAAAGAACTAACTAATCAAAGAAAAACAAAGAACTCCACTTCTGTGCATAAAAGTGACATGAAAAGCTGGAGGATTAAATCATTTAACAGTAATTAGGTTGTTTCATTTCAAGAACAAATAAATGCTCCTGTTCAACCTCACTTTTTGATGGAATGAATGCGATCTAAATGATTTGCTCAGGACTAAAGCCTGTGTCAGGTCTGTCATCATTAGCAGACTGCCAAACAAAAATGACATGTGATCCGTGTAACTAAATAAGTGGATTATTTTGTTCATCGCATGAGCTGGAACTCGGAATTAACATGCCAAAACATGACTCCCTGCACACAAAAACAGTGTAAATCACATACAAACAGTGGGGAACAAATGTTTGCTTGAGTACGTTTGAGTGTGTCACTCAGACTTACTTGATTTATTTTTTAAAGAAATCCGCAGTGTAACATCCCTGGTCTGCTAGTGAGCTGGCAATAACAGCGAAAGAAACTAAACTGACTCACAAATATAAAAACATTCTGAAAAGTGTACCAGACAAATTCCAAATTGCTTGAAGCTGGAGTAAAAACAGCAGACCCCAAAATAAAGTAAAATAACTCACAGCATAGGCCTAAGAAAAATTAAGAAAAAATGGCAAAAATATGAGTATCTGCTGCTTTTTACTGTTTAATGTCATTGTAAACTGAATATCAGACACAAGACATTTGAAGAGGACAGCTTGGCACTTTTCACTGTTTTCTAAAGTTTTTTATTGACCAAACAATGAATTGAAGGGGGTAATGCAGATTAATTGATTATAAAAATAATTATTAGCTGCAGCTCTAAAAATAATGAATTTAAATTTTTTTCTAGACAAAAGGGTCACTTTTACTTTTGGATATTTCACTTATCTAAACTCTGATATTACATATAATGACACTGCAAACCCCACCAAAGTACATACGATCCTGAATAGATAAACAGAAAACTATCAAATAAATTCAATTTGGAAAAATGCTGCTAAATGAAATTTATCAGACAAAATTTGATAAATGTATTATATATTAAAATCACCATATACATGATTATATTATTTAAAGTTGAAATCCAATTCTGGATCAATAGATAAATACAGATATAGGCCACACGTGCATGTTGTGTACAGTTGTTGTATTTACCTGGGCCTCTCTTGTCCCAGCCACACACCATGGTTCCCATGCTGAGTCCCATGCCCTTGTACTGGTACACCATGTTAGCGAGAAGCTTGGAGGCTGCTGCCACCGAGATGCGCTCCTTGTTGCGAAGCTCATAGATGCGGCACTGGCGGGCCAGCAGGCGCTCCCAGAAGCTACAGTCCGCAGCTCCTCCGGCCATGGTACCCAGCAGGTAGGGGTTGATCTCAATCACCTTCTTCACCGTCTGTGAGGCGATGTAGGAGCCCGCTGTGGCCCGAGAGTCCACCGCCACAATAACACCATGCTGGAACTGAGAGGGGCAACAGCAGGGGGAGTAGTGAAGCACAATACAGCAGGAAGGAACCATGTTACAACAGAGCAGTCACTGAGGAGACACAAATATGGTACAGTGTAACTGGTCCCAGCACCACTGATATACTGGTCCCAGCACCACTGATGTATGGGTCCCTTTCTTTCCTCAGGTTTAGTGCATGAATGAACGGTTTGCACAGCAGATATTTTGACTCGTCATAGCAGGAAAAACAATGGTGGACTTGACGGACCAGTAACAGTGACAGTGAACCAGCACACACAGCAGCAGGATCTCCCCTAAGTGGAAAGCAGCTATCATTACACCTGTGAGTTTCTGGCTATGACATATCAAAATGTCTGCTGTGCAAATTAACCAGTCTGGAATACAATCTCTTGTTTGTTTTTTTTTTAAACAATATATTACAATTGCTACATACAAATATAGGAGTGCAGTTTAATTATCTGTGGGGCAGAAATGTGCTGCTGCTCTACAACTGTCAGAAAAAAAGCAATTTACGGTCCAGCTTTGCCAGAAAGCTGTGGGATAAGAGGGAAGACTTTTACTCTTCCCTTTCGAAACACTCTATCACTGATATGACTGTCACAACAGCTGTATAGTGCTAGAGCAAAGACAGCAGATTTGGTCAGTCAAAGGGAGATATGTGCTAGGGAGTGTTTTCATCGACCAGCCGGACCCCCTCCAGAGCCCCCCACCCCTTCCCCAAGGATTAAGGGATAAAGTTGGCGTTATTTTATCTTTTCTTTTTATCAACAAATCCCCTCAAGAGACCAAAACCAACTGCAGGGATGTGGCTCAGTATTTACACTGCTCTGCTTGTTTGACACAGTGAGAGGAAAATGCTCCACCGGCTGTTTTCACTTTAATGAAAAGATATGTCACCCAAATGCAACAGTTTTATGAGTATTTAATAGTTTTTGGAAAACAATAGCACCGAGGCAGGGCATATAGGCTATTAGACAATCTTGTTAGTAGCATATATTCATTGTTGGTTTTGGTGTTTAAGTGATTTGTCTATATAACAAAATAACAGCATTGACCCATTCTTTAAGTGGAATGTAAAAGTCTCTGGACTCCAGTTGACGTTATTCATTTAGGAGCTCCAACTTTGTTCTTTACTCCTACGACATCCAAGGAACATTTCCACTATAGTGTTTTTGTTGTTTTTTGTAAGACAAACTTGTGCTGTGTTATTATACTCATCAGGACAGTATCAAAACTTATCAATTTTTAAATGCTGGTACCAAACATGTTTGCCAGCCTAGCTCATCACTGAATACATTAACTTACATTCTGACCTCTTATATTCTCCAGTGTGCAAATAAATTACTCTGTAATGGCATAAATTGTTCATTAAGGTTGAAAGACATTTGTCCCAAATGCAAAATGTGATTCTCAAAATGAACAATGATGTACAATACATCTCACCAACTGTGTTGTAATGCCCCAGTCCTCTCTGCCTCCATGAAGGTGATACAATTATCTAGCAGTTATTGTATAATACAAAAAGAAAGCACCTTTACTATTAGAAGCACACAAGCTGATATAACACTGTTTAAAATACAAACTGAGGTCAGCTTTATATTATTGTGTTGGGAAACAACTTAATAGCTTAAACATAAGCATAGTCAACATGTGATGGATCTAATTAAACCATGTGTGGATGCTGCACAGGTGCTGTTTACAGAACTGACATCTTGATTCCCATTCAAGGCAGAATAGCTAGCTCCAGCTACTGACTTATGACCCCTAGATCAAGGAAGTTACGGCCATTACTGTCAAACCTACACATGGTTTCTGGGGTTGCTTTTCATGCCAGAAGTGTCTAACACCTCCATAAGGTTGTGTGCACATCTGCAATGAGAAGGCGGTTTGTAGCCATGCTAGCATGCTAACGTTAGAGATGTAGCGGTGTGTTAGCTCTAAAGCACAATGTTTACCCTCTTAATGATTTATCAAACGTCTAAGCTGACAACTACATACATGGTTATAGTTTTATGTTGCCAGTTAGCTACAATAAGACACTCGTGTACTTACTTTAAATGCTAAGGTTGTGGTTCCATGCAGGAACTCTATTTTCCTCTCGACGCCGTCCTCGTCCCCGGCACACAGCGGGTTTCTAACGGAAAAACTGAGCCCGTCTCCCGGCGTAGTGTCAAATCCCGCACCGCTCTGTCCGGGTCCACATCCATACGTAGAAGGCTGACAATTATCAAATGAAAAATCCGCACAATCACTGTTCAACACACTAGCAAGAGCCATCTTTGAAACTGTATGATGAGCAAGCAACTTCCGTCGTGTAATGGGTACGAACATTTATTAAGTCATGGCGGCAGAATCACACAGCGCCCCCTGTGTTTGTGGCGGACTGCAGACGTACTGCTGCGATGTATAGGTAAATGAAAATCTGTGTAAACTGTGACCCAGGCGCAACAAACCAATATTTCAAAGTTACAGTAATATGATACTTCACTGGAGTACATGTAAATATGGAGTAAAGAGTAAAGATAAAGTCAGGCGGCTGCCAGTAGCAGAAAGAGGCTTTACACTATTTCTAATCTTTAGTCCCCTATAGGAAGCGCACATTTTTGCTTCACCCTGAAGCATCTAATTCAGTCACCCTTTTTTATCCCTCCACTATATTTGTCTTCCTCTTCATGTCTCTATAATATTCCTCTTTCAGGTCTTCTCTCTTTCTTTGACTCCATCCCTGGGCTGTGACATGGAAGAGGTCCACATTGTTTCCTGAGTAGGCGTCCCTGTGAGTGGCTCTGAACACTGCTTCTCTTGCCAAGGAGATGGCTTCTTCTTTACTCAGGCTCCACCTCAGGTCTCTATCCAGGACTCCATATGCATAGGGAGAGCCTGAGCCCACGGAAAAGATGTCCCCCTGCAATCGGGCTCCATCGCTGCACACATATATCAGCTTTGGGCCACTGCTGGGGGATGCAGAGTGTGCCATTGCAGTGACATCTTGGCTACTACAGACAGCTGAGGAGCTATCATCAGTAGTAGAGGATAAGTCTTCTGACATCTTTGTACAGTCAGTGTTACCTGCATCCTTATCCCAGCCACACAGTGTAAGAGCCACACACACTTCAGTCCCTTTAAAGGGGTGCAGCATAAAGGAGAGGAGCTTTGCAGTGCCACGTATTGAAAGGCAACGTCTGTGTCGCAGTTGGTAGAGTCTGATCTCTCGGGTCAGAATTCGCTCCCACAGCATGCAGTCTGCACCGCTACCAGAGGAGGTGACCACTAAATGGGAGTGAATAGGGGTGATCTTATGAACCTCTGGACAGGCAACAAGCCCCCCAGCACTGGCACGTGTGTCTGCAGCTGCAATGACCCCACCTTGGAAGATGAAACCCAAGGTTGTTGTTCCATGGGACAGAGGGAAAGGCCTGCGGACCGTCACTGACTGGTTGGCTGGAGAATATGGGAATAAAGATCTGTTGTTGGAAGGCGCAGGGTTTGGCAAAGTTGGTATGAAGAAATGCAGTGGGATCCCACTGTTTCTCCTGGATTTCTTTAGTCTCCTCAATCCGAAGTTGTAATAGTCAGTCATATGAAAAGATGTGGCTGTATCTTCGAAATGAAAGGCAGAAAACCACTTGTGATGCACTGGAGTGTCTTTGAAGCCACAAATCTCTTCCAAAGCCATAACGGTGTAGGTGAAGCAGATACAGATAGATTCCTTGATCAGAAAATCAAAGTGTCTTTCCCAGAGAGTAAACCTCAAACACAGGCTAAACCAGAGTCCATCTTTAGGAAAACTGGTCAGACAAAGTCATAAGCCTTGTAAATCCCACTATGGTTTGTACTGTTGACTGCTGCAATCTGCTCTCATCCTCTCATCTACTGTCTAATCTGAAAGACCAACGTTTTTAACCCTTTTATAGCCGCCCCAAATATGACGCTTTGCAAAACCACACAAACACACACATAGGCCATGTATCCATAAGCATTTGAGTTGACATAAGTGATATTTGATCCCACCTGCTGTCAAAGTAATATCCAGAGAAGCCACTTTTTGCAAACCTTATGTTCTGCTAAGTGGTTGAGTCATCTTGGTAGCAGTGTGCAAGTTCATGCATATATCTTTCTATCATTTTCAGTTTGTTGTTAAAGGAAAACTACAACCATACTTTCCATACTGTAGCTGTGTTTGGAACAGAGACACAGCACAAACACTCAATTAGGAATAGGAACTGAAGATAATAAAAAAAGATGAAAATATATAAGTAATAGCCTAATTAATATGATGGAATACTAATTTTAAACATAGATTCTATTTTTATACAAGATCATTTATTTGTCATTTTACAGCAAAGGATTGTAAAATTAAATGTAAGTTGTAGTTCCCTTAATGCTACTCATAAAAACAAAAATGATACACAGTCAATGGTAAAAAGAAAGTTCTTTTATGACAGTAATGTTTTTCACAGCATTAAAAACATTTGTCTTCCACAAGACTTCTTTAAAAGACTCTGACATGAAAACATCAACTGTTGAAGTTCAATACTCATAAACTCAAGACCCTTGATGTTCAGTTATCGCGGTAATTTACAGACATGCAACTGAAGTAATTGCGAAGACATTTTGGGTCTACATCATCTTGTTACCCAATGAGCATGCACGTCTTCGCAGATCCAAGATGGCGTCAGTTTCCTCGTAAACCAGAGCAACGAGGCGGTCTCAGTCAATTCATTCAGTCGGCTAAAATCATGGCGTCCGCCAGTACAGGGAGCAGAGTATCCTGCGGGAGAGACTTGAATTGTGTGCCGGAGATAGCAGACACGTTAGCCGCGGTCGCCAAACTTGGGTGAGGAGAGTGCTGCACTCCGCCACTTCTTTTTTTAGTAAAAGTGATGTTTGGAGGGGGACGCGCTGGTGTGCTAGCGTGATGCCAGTGCGTGGGGTTGTTAGCATAGAGTCAATGCGCGATGCTTGCTAAGCTAAGCGGTGAATTACTAGCACGTGCCCAGTCACAGTCAGTTGTATGCACTGTTTATTGTACTCGTGCAGCTTATTGTGTTCAGATGTGTGAGCTGGCTGGAGGATAGTCGTGTAAATATGTTTGAGTTTCACCTCTGCCTGACATTAGATCTCAGTATCAGTGTTTAAAATGATGTGCTTTCTTTCTCTGGGGTGCAGGTTTGACTTCCTGTGCATGCCCCTGTTCCACTCGAGGTTCAGGAGAGAGTTTGAGTTGGAGCCCGCTAAATCCCGACCCGGTGCCCAGACCCGGTCCGACCTGCTGCTGTGTGGAAGAGGTTGGTGTCTCCACCCGACCGTATTCTAACATGTCAGGCGTTAGTAGGCATGCAAATGCAATTTACATTACTTTATGTTCTTCAAGAAATTAGACTGTACCCCAGTACGCCGGAATAGGCCCCCTGTGACATCGGAGAGCAATGATTGATTGATTGATTGATTGATTGATTGACTATATGTTGTGTTAAGTTAAACGATGGGTGTTTTACTCTTTGATTCCAGTAATTTTTTATTAATTTTATTTTAATATCTATCCAGACCAGGTTCCCTCCTGTTCTCATCATGTTCAGCATGTTGAGTTTTAAAATATGACAACTCAATTCATCACCTTACCCTAAAGTATATAATAATACCTATTTGCCAATAAAACACGGTGCATTATTGGCCACTACCTAATATCTTAATACAATTTAAAGTTAGGGTGCAGTCTTTGGTTTCAGTTCAATTTCTATTCTCAGGTTTATTTAAATTAGAGTAATATATTTGTTAATATACAACATATCAGTTATAAATACACACACACACACACACACACACACACACACACACACAATCCTGTGTTGTAAAATGATAAATCTACCTTGAGTCCTTGTCAAGCTTGGACTTATTTTTAACATTTACCGGGTGTTTACACAGTCCATCTATCTTTATCTACGATGTGACAGGCTTTAAATATCTGACATTGAAGTTATAAAAAAGAAGCTGAAGGTATAAAATAGTAACTACAAATGATAGAAAGTCATTTCATCAAACTATTAGATTTATTTTTAAATTAATATTAAGTGACTTAAAAAAAGAAGTCTTAGGACATTTTAAATATCAATGTATTGATAAGTAATACTTCTGGTTATCATATTATACTGTATAAGTTTGAGTTTATGGGTCAAATGTTAGCATAAGCTATTTTATCACCCCGATTTGCAAACTATGGGGCCAGAAAGAGAGACAGATGCTATCACTGAGAGTCAATGGATTGACAGGAAATGGTAAAATGTCAGTCAGTGCTTTTCATTAACTACTCATTATGCTTTATCTAGATTGGAATACTCTTATTGTTGGGAAGCTCTCATCATGGATCGACGCAGATTCAGAAATCGAGACGGAGCGCAGAAACTCAGAGGCCGTAAGTTTCTCACTTTGGACAATTTCTTTGACAGCATACACTTTCTCTGAGGCCGTCCTGGATGTTGTTGCGGGAGAGGGTTCTTTGATCTCAAGTTATTGTGGCACGAGTGAACTTGTCTTGTCCAGTTTCTCCTCTCCAGCCCTCTGAATCTGTCTTTTTGTGTCATCCCGCCATGCTCTCATCATTCTTTTTCCTGTGTTTCTCTCCAGGCTCTGGCACAGGAGCTAAACTTCTCCGCCTACCTGGGTCTGCCTGTCTTCATGATCCCTATAAAGGGCCCGCATAATGCCAATCTAGCCCGCCTGCTGCTAAATCACATCCACACTGGACACCACACCTCAAATGTAAGACATGCAGCATAAACTCAGCATGCACATGTAGATTGCTTTTTGATAGCAGGGAACTCAGTCAGGCAGACGGCTGAATTCATCAGCTAACGGCTGTTGTCCTCTGTGACTGATTTAGTTCTGGATACGTGTCCCGCTGATGGCTCCAGAGGACATGCGGGAAGACCTGATTGAGAATGAACCGAGCACTTGCATCGACGACACAAGTGTTGATGAGAAGACCTGGAGCTGGTTAGTTTCACATCAGTCCACTTCCTTAACAGTCGAGTGCTGTCTGCATGCTAAAACAGCTGTCATTGATTTCCTTTCAAATCCAGACTCATTTTGTTTACTTGCCTCTGCTCTTTTAGGTGGCACTCATTAAGAACCCTTTGTGATTACAACAAGAGGATCTGTCTCGGTGAGAGAGCACACTGTGAAGAAACAGCCTCCAGCAAAGTCAGTGCATTAAGACATAATTATAGTTGTGTCTGCTACTGAAAATGTCCCTTTTTTTTTTTGTATTCCTGAAGCTATTGAAGTTGGAGCAGACATGCCGTCAGAAGCTGTGATCGATAAGTGGCTCGGGGAACCTATCAAAGCAGCCATACTTCCCACCAGCATCTTCCTAACAAATAAAAAGGGCTTCCCTGTTTTGTCAAAAGCCCATCAGCGTATAATCTTCTCTCTTTTCAAGGTATAATTCAGCACATTCAACCGAAATTAATCACCAGCCAAATGCAGACGTGTTGCTTTAATAAAAATGTCTTTTGATAGTTGGAGGCCCAGTTCATCTTCACGGGAACCAGTCGCCACACTGAGAAGGACTTCCGATCCTACCTGCAGTACCTGGAATACCTCAACCAGAACCGGCCCGCACCCAATGCCTACGAGCTCTTTGCCAAGGGCTATGAAGACTACCTGCAGTCTCCCCTCCAGGTGAGGAAGTGCTCATTTGTGATCATACATTATTGAAACAAATTGTTCTAAGACTGACTGTATTTTTATTTTTTTTCCCTCCTTTCCTTCAGCCACTCATGGACAACCTGGAGTCTCAGACTTATGAAGTGTTTGAGAAGGATCCTATTAAATATTCCCAGTACCAACAGGTAAGCATTAGAGAAAAAGTTGTCACAATTTGTCCAAGTGCAATATCCAAATCGCAGAAGCTGCAGATGGTAGAATGTATCACAAAACAGCATAATAATGAAGTATGGCCTACAAATCCTGTTCTCCGAATTTAAGAATGTTTGTCTGGTACCGACCCCAAAAGATGTTGCATCATTATGATTTTAAAACAGATAATTTCCACTGATAGTGAATCACATTACAATCGTAATCTGTCAAAAATAATTGCAATATGAATGTGTTGATGAAACACTCTGCTCATTGAGCTACATACCACCTGCTCTGATTGCTCTTGTTGCATTAATAAACAGAAGGTTTGGTAATTTCACATAAAGCTGTGAAATGGCTATGTGAGGCTGTTTGTATCTGTCTCTCATAAACCGACATGCTTCCATTTCAACAAATTGTCAGTGTATATTGACTTAGACATTAGGAGTTTTTCTTCTTTTGGGCTAAGTCACCTACAGATCCTAAAGTCATCCATTTAAACCACACACATCTACATATTGTGAAACTACATCATCTACACCAATCACTCAAGACCAAAGATCACACTATTGGAATTTAAATTAAAATTTCATTCACACTCATTGTGTAGCCTGCTGAAAAGTGTTTTTATTTATAAAAGACCGTTTGGTTTGATAGCAGATTTGACACAAAAATATAAATGATAGTGTCGCTATAGTAGTTCTCAGTTCTTTCTTATACTTTTAAAATATAAAATTTGATCTTTTCTGAGCTTGTACAGACAGGACAGATAGTCACTTACAGCAGAACACTGACATGTCTCTTTTTGTGTGACGGTGAGTTCGGCACAGAACATATTAATTCTCATGCTTTGTTTTTGTGTATACAGGCTGTATATAAATGTCTACTTGACAGAGTTCCAGAGGAGCAGAAGGACACAAACGTTCAGTGAGTATCTTTACCCAGGTCTTTATACGTAGAGTTCAGAAGTTGCTGTGGTATTGCAGTCAGTGTCTGGATAATGATTCAAACCGTGAGATTGAATTTCGAAACCAACACCCCTCTTTCCCTGATGAAGCTCGATATAATACCTCTAGTAATAGAACAGGGTAATGTATTCGAGAAAATAATGACAGACAACTCAGTGGGTGAGATGAGTCATGAAGCAGTGATTGCAGCAGCCTTAAACCTCTCTTTCTCACAGGGTGTTGATGGTGTTGGGAGCAGGTAGGGGTCCACTGGTCAACGCGTCCCTGCGTGCTGCCAGACAGGCCGACAGGAAGCTGAGGGTGTACGCTGTGGAGAAAAACCCCAATGCTGTAATCACGTGAGTGGAGTACTACCCTTTAGCAGTCAGTGTCCAAGTGGGGAAAAAATATTGACTTTTAAATGCCTGTGTTAATGGTTCCGTCCACCAACGTTTTAACTGGTCCGTACTTGCTCAGGCTGGAGAACTGGCGCTTTGAGGAGTGGGGTGATCAGGTGACAGTGGTGTCATGTGACATGCGGGAGTGGGCAGCGCCAGAGAAAGCCGACATCATTGTCAGCGAGCTGCTTGGATCGTTTGGTGACAACGAACTTTCCCCCGAGTGCTTAGATGGAGCCCAGCACTTTCTCAAAGGTACTTCATTGTTTTGATTTTAAAGCGACAGTTCACCCCAAAGTCAAAAATACATATTTTTCCTCTTACTTGGGGAGTTATTTATCCATCTAGATTAGGTGTGAGTCGCTGAGTATTAGAGATATCGGCCACTGAGATGTCTGCCTTCTTTTGAATGTAATGAAACCAGATGGCACCTGGCTTGCGGTGTTCAAAGCGCTAAACCGCAATGTCTCTTTTGAGAAATCATGACCCAGTTCCTCAAAGTGATCCACATACCTTGTTGTGAGCAGTTTCATGTAGGAGGTATTTTCATTCTGCAGAACTCCATCCACCAACCATAGCTGAACGTTAGGGGTTGAGGTTAACTGTCCCTTTTTTTTTTTTTTTTTTTAAAGAATCTGCTATATATGCAGACGCTGTAGCTGCAGTCTTTGAATGCACATTTGGTTGTTTGCCACATCAAACGTGCAAAGCATTTGCCATCCTCCATTACCTTCCATGCTTCCTTGCATCTCAAATCACTTTCTTCTTCCCCTTTTCCTCGTCTCGTCACTCTCAGATGATGGAGTGAGCATCCCCTGTTCCTACACGTCCTTCCTGGCTCCCCTGTCCTCCTCCAAGCTTTACAACGAAGTACGGGGCTGCCGGGAACGTGACAAGGACCCAGAGTGCCATTTTGAGACGCCCTACGTGGTGCGCCTCCATAACTTCCACCAGTTGGCTGACCCCAAACCGTGCTTCACCTTCACACACCCCACAACAGGTAGACGCACTAAACTCATATTGTAAACAAAGAAACAATTACACTATACAGTTTGGTATTGTGTGTTTTGAATGTGTTGATCACACTTGCTTTTTTTCTTTCAGATATGAACAATAACCGCTATCAGTGCCTCAGATTCTCCGTTGGTTGTAACTCTGTGCTCCATGGTTTTGCTGGCTACTTTGAGACCACGCTGTACAAAGATGTCACACTTAGTAAGTCAAATGTATGAAGGGGAAGTCACACTGTGCTGAGATTGGACAGAAATATTAATGTTTATGTTGTGTGTGTGTGTGTGTTTGTGGCAGGTATAAAACCAGATACACATTCACCTGGAATGTTCTCCTGGTTCCCCATCCTCTTCCCCCTCAAAGTAAGTTGTACTGTTGGTACTCCTAAATTTAACAGCATACGTCAATCACATATTCACCCTTCCTTCTTCCTCAATTTCTACCTTCCAATAGCAACCCATCTCCATATCCCGGGATGATGATGTCACAGTGCGATTCTGGCGCTGCAACAACGGGAAGAAGGTGTGGTACGAATGGGCCGTGACCGAGCCCTCCTCCTCTGCCATCCACAATCCAGCAGGACGCTCCTACACCATCGGCCTGTGAAGATGACACATCAGCACACCTGTCAACAGGCGCACGCACACACACGCACACACGCACACACGCACACACGCACACACACACACACACACACACACACACACACACGTTTCCGTAAGACTTGGTGGCAGATAAGGTGGAGGTGGCCTGGTTCTTTTTATATACACATTAAAACCTGGACTGAAAAACCCCATAAAATGTTGTCCGGGTTTTAAAATGACCAGTGGTTGGCACTTTTGAGGCAGCAATGAAAAAGTTGATTGGATGAACCAAATTTCTGTCTGTTTTTTGTGAAGTCTGTTTCACAAGCATGGACTATCACCTGTACACAAAGTGTATTGTTCCTGTGGGATTGGCTCATTCAAATAAGGTCAAACACCTCCACTGGTTTATTTTTTAAGGCCTTTTTTCCCCACTACTGTTCTGAACACGTGTTGCAAACATACACACTAAATCCATCCAGACCGTTTGCCTTATCAAACACACATTCCATAGTGATTCTTACGTACTGATGAAATACCCTTCTCCTCAACGCAACAGGGTTAGAGGATGGTTACGCTGTTCAGGTCACATACCATGTTGTCTGGGGGCTGTCTCTTCATACCTTTTTGTTGTTTTGTTCCTGTATGTTTGAACCATGTCAATAAAGACACTGTAATATCTGTCCATGCTCTACAAGTTATTGGGATTGGAATGTAAACCAATGTAAAGGTTTGCGAGTAATTGTGGAATGACGGCAAGAGCAGTGTTAGTTTAAATGAAAGGGCAGCCTATTCTGTAAGGATGTGAGTTGTCCCATAGATGTCACTCCCAGATGGCGATCTCTTGGACCACAAGTAATCAATGTTGGTAGTGTTCTCAGCTCACCCTAACCTTGTGTGTTGACCAATGCAGGTGCAACTATCAGGTTTACTGTAGAGATTTCTTTTGGTGAGTTGCGATTCATTATCTCAGGAGCTTTTCCTCATTAGCACAGATGCAAAGCTCCTTACAGACTTGTCAAATGTAACCAAACTTGCTCATCAGTTCCAAACTAGACACTGTGTACACGTGTTTCTGCATCAGTACAACTGTCAAAATCAAGTCACACCATAAAAGCACCAAAATGTGATTACAGCCGACAGTGATCCTGCTCAGTATGATGTAAGGCCGGCTTAAACATTTCTAGAGCCAAACACACTCCACCTTCTGATACCTGACTATTCTGTACCGTTATTTACCATATCTTACTTATACATTACCATTACTTGAGTCTACAGTACGAGCATAGGCCGACAAACACGCCCTGTCTGGTCTTATGATGCATACACATGCACGTATCTTTGTAGTTGCAGTTGCTCAGGAAAGATGCACATGACTGGGGCCAAACGAAAATGTAAATGTTTTGCCTGCTCATGCAAGGAGTTTTTAAAGAATTTGAAATGCGTATTAAAGGTTTTATTGAGGATATTTTAATTTGACAATTATCAAATATTGAAAAAAATGCAGACCGACTAATCCATGTAAGAACATGCACTGTATTAGCCATTTTTATGCAAATGTCCTTTTTTTGGGGTTTTATTTGACATTTTGAGAAAAAGAGTGTTAATCACAAACACCTGCAAAGATGAAACTATAAAGTCTTATTTCCATTGTGGTCCTTGACATAAAGATAGCAAAGATGCAGTGGTGCAGGTGACAAGGGACATCATACTGCCTACAACCAACCCAGTTAATACCTATATCATTATTAATAAAATCCCTCCCAGTTAAAACAACCCAAAATGGTGATTAATCATCTTATTCAATGTTTATTTGAGCAACAAAACGTACTCTTTGCCGGTGTTTACCTTTACCCTCATTTGAAATATGCAGTTTTTATGTATGGCAACTAGTCCTACATCCAATTATTATTATTTTTAATTATAATGAATGTATATTTAGGTCAATTCTACAAGGATGAGTACACTACTCACAAAAAGTTAGGGATATTCGGCTTTCGGATGAAATTTCAGAATGTACATAAAATGCACTATAACCTTTCCAGGTGATCTTAATTTGACCTTCTACTTAAATGCCCTACTTTCATGATATAATATCACTGTAGCATCAACTTTTTACATTTTCCATAAATTTCACCCGAAAGTGGAATATCCCTAACTTTTTGTGAGTAGTGTATGTATGTATGTATTAGGTTGTGTTTTGTCAATGGGTCCTCACTACAGGGGGCGGGGCCTGAGGCGTGTTGACAATTCGGGCTGCGCTGATTGGTTGAAAACAACCAGCTTTTCTATTTATCGAGGCTGTCAGCTGGAAGTCTTTTGTTACCCCGCTCATCACGGCCAGCCGACAGGAATCAGGGATAATGCCGAACATGAAGTCTGTCACATAACAGGGAGCTTTCAGGGGGTTTTCAAGTCACCACAGCCGCCAAAGAGGTGGGTCAACACTCTATGAGTAGTTTCCTTGAGGTTTAAACAGAGAAACAAAGAGCGGGAGGTCAGTGCTCATGGGTTAATTACAAATTCCCGCAGTCTTGTTGGTCACACAGAAAAGAAACCTCGGGTTACTGCGGCCGCGAGATATGCTAAACCGGTGTTTTTGAACTTGAATATGTCAACATTTACCACTTCCTTTTAAGCTTATTTTTCTTAACAAACTAAAATTATTTCAGTCTGTTTGTGGTCCCCAGACAGCCTCTCAGACACATAGGCCACACACGGACCGTTCATAGTGTTGCACTCTGAATTATTGATGCTGGGGTTTCTAATTTTAGCCCTACTGTAGCCAAATAAAGATGGAGACCACTGCCACCGGCCTTTTTCACCTCTGATGGGGCCCAAAGAAAGTGGCGGGGAAATTACTCAGCAAATGTGTCAAACCAATTCTGCCTTGGTAGGCTTACTACTAGAGAGCCGCGGCCCCAGTCATCTGGACCACAAAGGAGGAGGAGTGGGGGGGACATACCGGGCTGGGCTTCAGGATGACCGAGGGCCCGAGGAAGAGGAGCAGCAGCACCGGCGGGGTCAGCCAGTCGGAGCCCCCAGACTCCCGGTCGGGTGAGGGGAAAGACGCAGGAGGAGGCTCCGGGGTGGCTCTGAAGAAACAGATCGGCCTGGTCAGCGCATGTGGCATTATAATAGGTAAGTACGTCCTTATGGGGTTTCCCTGCACTGTAAATGAAAGTGAATCACGTGAATGTCAGTCAGTGATGCTAACACCAGCATCTGCATAAAGAATCCATTCCATATAACAGTTGAGTTTTATGGATTATCTTTACTTGATACAGTAAGTTTTTGTTTTCATTCTACTACAGCCTTTGTCAGCTTGTCCAGCAGTTTGTTATACTACATAGAGTTTGATGTTTTTTTCAATCTTGGCAACCAAATAATCAAAACATCCAAAAATCTTTAATTTAGTGTCACTTAAAGTGTCATTAAAGGTATTTGACAGCTTGTTTGTGTCAGAAATCACCAATTTGCAGTGATGAGGTTCAATTCTAAGTAATTGGCAAGTGATATTTTCCAGTTGCACATTGAAAGTATTTTCATTATGTAACTGAACTGTATTCCTTAAGGACAATGTTTCTGAATTGAGCTGCACTGAAATTCAAAAGCCACTCACATTGCACTCTTTGTGTTTGAGCCTTACTGACTGAAATCTCTCTCACTCTCTGCTGTGATTGCGGATTATCCTCTGTGTGCTCCCGGCATCATCTTGCACATGCACACGTCAATTTAAAGCAATCCCGCCAATGGGCTTCCACCATTGTCGAGAATGCATTTTCCATTTGAAGCTTGGTTGCTGCCCCCTTAACAAGAAGCAGCTGTACCCTCCATGTTCTGTGTTGTATGAATTAAATGAGTGTAACAATTTGACCATTTAGGTATACTGGGATTAGACAATGGTGGCCGTCTGGAGGACAATGCTTAAATGTTTTATTTGGGGTTAATTAAATCAATATGATACACAAATTCAAAAGTACAAAATATCATTAACTAAATTAGATCAGCAGAAAAGAGACTGACTTTACATCACCAGTGTGTTTTTCTGCCCTACAGCCAGCAAGTGTCAACTGTTGCTGATTTGCTGTAACAAGTGTGTTGTCATTTAATTCAAACTGCCTCTAATGGCAAGTAGCAGGATAAGAAGTATCATAAGTGAACTACTCTCTTTCTACTCATCTTTCCCCAGCCACTGAAATAGCTTTATAGTAGATGTGTTTAACAAAGACAGGTACTGTTCTTGAAGTTGTTTTTTTTTTTTTTTTTTCTTGGTCCCAAGAGTCACTGGATAGGAACTCGTTCTGACATCTCCTCAGGCTAATTAAAAAAGACAGAGCAAATATCTTCTCTGCTAAAAACAAAGGCAAAGAAAAAAATACTACAAAAAATATTAGTTACACTAATTGTCTCTGTTGCCGAAACTGTAACAACCTTTCCCTACTTTCAATAACTTGTCAAATGAAAAAAATAAAAGAAAATAGCTCAACTGCACATTTGAAACTCCAAGGCCAGGCAAAATCAATCTCAAACAAGCCCACAGTTTTCTGCCCATGGGTTAACCTACAAAGCTAAACAAAGTTAATACTGTAACTGGGGAAAAATGTTATCTGATGTCAAACATGAGTACTACAGGAAATGGGGCATCATGTGAGAGGAAATTGTATCCATCCCTTTATATCCTGCAATCTGTTTCAGTGGCATTGAGCTTTAATGTGGTTTTCCTCCCACTGCTGATGAGAAAAATATCTGCAATGTTTTTCTTTAAACAGAAGATGGGCATCTTTAATTTTTATTGCATTCACATTATATGTACATAGATATGCCAGAGCATCCAACCCTGTTCCTGATTTGTTTCTTAATTTGTTTTCTGTGTCTGTTGGCATTCAGGCAACATCATTGGATCAGGGATTTTTGTAAGTCCTAAGGGGGTCCTGGAGAATGCTAGCTGCGTGGGTGTGGCCATCATTGTGTGGGTCACCACTGGAATTATCACAGCCATCGGAGCTCTCTGCTATGCAGAGTTGGGTGTGACCATCCCCAAGTCAGGGGGAGACTACTCCTATGTAAAGGACATCTTTGGAGGACTGGCTGGGTGAGAACTATGCTATTTGTTAGGATTAATGCCTCCTATGTGATTTAAATAAAATACCCAAAGTATCAAAAGCCGCAAGTGTAGCAACTACACAGATCAGACATGTGGACACTGAGAATAAAAGGCGATACATGGGGCTGGAGTTAACAGGGATTGTGTCGATTCTCTCGGAACACAAACTTCAGAGCCACAATCCGTTTTAAAGATGCTAAATCCAACCATAATCTGTCTGCATTGAGATGAGTGTAGTTCATGTAGTATTATGTAAAGATGAGACAGCAAGGTTTTTAGCAAGCCCTTTTGTAATTAATTAGAAATTATAATAAACCCCCGCTCCCATCCCTCCCCCTCCACAACCATATAATTAAGCCTCTCCTAATGTAATTTTGTATTCCCAACATCCCACAATGTCGATGACCCAGTTCCACTCATTTCTCTCGTCTTTAACAACAATGCTCCAGTGCATCTCTATAATGCACCTAGCTAATATGCTTAATTTCCTTTGTCTTCCATCACATTGTGCTGTAACGAGGGCCGGTATTCTCACACACTGTGTTGTGTGGACCGGCTGCTGTTAGACACAAGTCCATTGCCACGTCTCAATAACCTCCTGCCTGTGTTGTCCCCCAGCTTTCTGCGTCTGTGGATTGCGGTGCTGGTTATCTACCCCACTAACCAGGCTGTGATCGCCCTCACCTTCTCAAACTACATCCTGCAGCCCCTCTTCCCCGCCTGCCTTCCCCCAGAGAATGGCCTACGCCTGCTGGCTGCTGTCTGCCTCCGTGAGTCACACAATTAAACTGAAGATTAAATGCCTATTGGTTTGAGGTTGGTGCATTAACAGATACAGATCATGAAGCAGTGTAGAAAAGATTTTCAGGCATAATGAATTTATAGCTTCTTTCTTCCATTGTTTTTATACCCTTTTGTTAAAGAAAGACGCTCAACACCGTCAAAGAAACTGTTATGGGGGCAGTGAAGGTCTAACAAAAGAGGCTGTTGAGCTGCATTGTGGCCAGTGTAGGAGCTTGAGCCATACTAATGACTAGTATTGTAGTCAGTCTGTCAGGCAGCCCACCACTTTGGGCCAGACTGAATAATCTCAAACTATGTGATAGATTAAGAGGAAATTGTGCATGGACAGTCATGGTTGCCCAAGGATAATAGCGACTGGCACCACCATGAGGTTCACATTTGTGTTAGATGCTAACATTAGCTCGAACTACCATTCTACAGCCTCACAGAGCTTAAGCCTCACTTCATGGAAGAGCAATACTTTTCAGTCTACCTTAATGTACAGCAAGCAGATTTCAGTTTACCAAACTACAATATGCAGGTAATTAAGACACTCAAAGTTGCCCTTTTACCTTGGAAAATACAGATACAGAGACTAGTTTTCCAGTCATGGAAACACCTGGAAATTGATTTATGTTGTCCTGGAAAATTGTAATTGTATTTGAGCCACTCACTCCAAACACCTACGTAAACCTGGATGTGTATTTTGTTTGAAATGTGACTGCTGGTAGGATAAGCTGCGTGGTCTGGAACAGCTGTTTATTTCAGCTCCCATGTTAATAAAGAGCTGTTCACACCAGACAGAGGTTTGTTTTTCTGCTTTTTTGTTTAGTTGCAGCGTTATCCATAAAGCTCAGAAGGATCTTTCTTTGTCTGACTCAGGAATTTTGCTTTTTAAAAAAGAATTCTGTAAATGTTTAATTCTCATAACATTATTGATTAATAATATTCATAATATTCATAAAAATATATAAAACACCGTTGAGAAGAGCTGTGGGAAAAATTCTACCACCTGTGCCAATATTCAAGTTACATGAGCTAAATTTTTCACATACAATATGTTCCTACAAATGATAGATTGCATTGTATCCCTTACACAGCCTGTTGGGTACAGCAGAGATTATTCTAACTCTTCTTTTGCTGTCCTTTTTAGTATTGTTGACATGGGTGAACTGCTACAGTGTGCGCTGGGCCACATGTGTCCAAGATGTCTTCACTGCTGGCAAGCTTTTGGCATTGGGCCTCATCATAATCATGGGGATCGTCCAAATATGCAAAGGTAGTATTTGTTCCCTAATGTTTCCTTGCATTGTGTCTCTTTCTCTTTGGCTTCTAGCCTTTTCATAAAGTGTAGGAGCATCAAGTCAGCTTGCATGTGTCTGAGTTATAAGCAGTTCCATTTTCAGTGTATATCATGTGAATAGTATTTAGAGGTCTGAAGATGTAAAACTCCAGTATGTCTTAATAAGTATATAGTTTTTCTCTTATTTCCGGTGAATCATCTCATGATTCATTCATTTCCCTGACTCCTAATTTGGAAATTCCGATCTTAAGGCATGATGTCCAAATAGGGGAAAACCGTTTCAACACTTAAGCTACCATCACGATATAGTCACCTCGAGCCTCTCATGGGATTTGGGATTTCAACGTGAAAGAGGGATTACAGGCCCTCGTAGCTCGTCATCTCACTCATAATCCTCTAAGTCACACACACACTCTGCCAGGCCCATTCATGTGATTTAGCCCCCTCATATCTCACTTTGACTTTGTGTGACATAGAAGCTGGAGGTGCAGGCTGATTTAATGTATCCAGACCTTTTGTGTGATATGGTGTTGATTATAGCTGGCCATCTATGAGAATATTTGAGAATATGTAGTCAGCTAAATTCTGTTTAAAAGTAATAAATACCTTATGATATACTTAATGCTGTAGGGTACAAACCAAACAAAATACCAGACTCTCTGAATTTAAGTCTTTCATAAACAGATTTCTTTGTGAAATGTATAGTAAACACGCTTTAGATCAAAAGGCAGCAGTAAACTGTGTATAACTTGGAATGACATGAAAAAATAAATTGCATGCTGTGTCTAGTGCCCTCTGCTGCTCAGACTGTGGAGGTGAAAATAATTTCATTTCATCAAGTTCGACTAAATTTCAATGAAATCTAATATTGGGTTTTTTGCCGACAGGTCACTATTACTGGTTGGAGCCAGCACACGCCTTTGAGACCTTCCGAGACTATGATGTTGGTCTGATCGCTCTGTCCTTCCTACAAGGCTCCTTTGCTTATGGGGGATGGAACTTCCTCAACTATGTCACAGAGGAGTTGGTTGACCCATACAGGTAACACATGCACATTTGTACGTGTAACAAAACACAAAAAATAACGTAATACATTATGTATGTACATGGGAAAGTAAAAAAAAATTAGAAACCACTATAATGTAGTCCAGTACAACATCACATTTAACTACCTTAGTGTTAAACAGGCAATTGAATTTCTGATAATGTCACCAAAAATTTGTAAATGGAAGAATTTAAGGCAGAGCTGTTGTATTGAATTGCTATAGATTATACAGGTGTACCTAATAAAGTAGACATTGAGTGTATATTCATATTGGACATTGAATAATGGGAAAAATGGGACTGTGTATTCAGGCTGACCACTAAATGTAGTTTGGTAAAACTTTGTCGTGAAGAAAGGATCTTATATATGGTTGGTGAAATAAGTGGAAGTCTAAACAGTATTGTATTATGTGGGGTAAACTAAACTATAAAGAGTTTAACATTTATGTATCTACTTATTTTATTGATAATGCCATATGATTTTGTAATGTGACAATTGAATATAAGTTTTCCAACTAAATCTAAAGAAATTTTACAGATGAGAAACGGATGATGATGATGCAGAAACCAAGTCATTAATGTAGATTGGTAACAAAAAGGGTCCATAAACAAAACCCTGAGGGATGCCACAACTAACTTCCATCCATTTACAAATAGTTTATAATTATATATCCAAATATTTTACATGTTGGAAAAAAAAGGCTGAGAATGTTTTTCTATGGGAACATTAAAGCTCAGTGGTAGACATGGTTGATGTACCATGAACCACAATCTTGTCTTTTATCCTTCCAGGAATCTACCGCGTGCAATCTTCATCTCTATCCCCGTGGTCACCTTCGTTTACGTGTTTGCCAACGTGGCCTACGTCACAGCTATGAGCCCACAAGAGCTGCTGGCCTCAAATGCTGTGGCAGTGGTGAGAAAAAAAGACTGACGATAACGTGTGTGTGTGTGTGTGTGTGTGTGTGTGTGTGTGTGTGTGTGTGTGTGTGTGTGTGTGTGTGTGTGTGTGTGTGTGTGTGTGTGTGTGTGTGTGTGTGTGTGTGTGTGTGTGTGTGTGTGTGTGTGTGTGTGTGTGTGTGTGTGTGTGTGTGTGTGTGTGTGTGTGTGTGTGTGTGTGTGTGTGTGTGTGTGTGTGTGTGTGTGTGTGTGTGTGTGTGTGTGTGTGTGTGTGTGTGTGTGTGTGTGTGTGTGTGTGTGTGTGTGTGTGTGTGTGTGTGTGTGTGGTTAGGCATGTAGAGAATGTATGTAGTTAGAAGCTTATCAGAGTCTTTGAAGAGGAGTATTTGTGTTGTCCAGCAGCCATTTAAAGTAACCACATTGATCTGATGCATGCTCCTCATTGGAGCATAATGCTTGTAACTTGTCTGTCGCCCCCGTTTGCACTGCATTTCAAAATGTCCTGTTCAGTCGCTGTTATTTAAGTACGTGTTTCAACTTTATACTTGCTTTCTCCTCCTCGTCTTCTCTCTCTCTACTCCTAATATTTCTCCCAGACATTTGGAGAGAAATTGCTAGGAGTAATGTCATGGATCATGCCCATATCTGTGGCGCTCTCCACCTTCGGGGGGGTCAATGGCTCCCTCTTCACATCGTCGCGGTCAGTTTGTCCTCTCCCCATGGTCCTCCCTTTCTTCTCATTCCAGCTTCTGTGGTCACCGTGCTTTTGTTTTGAAGAGTACTCTTGTTTCCCATGTCGATATTTGTGCCCATACCTGTAGATGTATGTGAAGAAGCGGGATAAGCAGGGTAAAAATGAGAAGCTCAACAGGAATAAAATGCTTTGGCAGTGCAAATACAGATTGGATTTCAGATTATAGCAAAAGGGCCTCAATAGAAAACTGTATTCCTCTGTGCATATTCCACTTTGGCTAAGATGATCCCTCTTGACCAGTAACATAACCCAAAGTAGTGAACCCCTTGTGCTCCTGTTTTGGTCCATTTTTCACTTCTGCCATTTCCTCCTGCACTGGTGCTTCCATAATCACCTGAACTATTTGCATATGGTTAGCACCAGCTGGCTCTGCTCTCAGGACTTCACTGTCTGTGGTTCTGTCTTTCAGGCTGTTTTTTGCTGGAGCGAGGGAAGGCCATCTCCCACGTCTGCTGGCCATGATTCACGTGCAGCGCTGCACTCCTATCCCTGCCTTACTGTTTACTGTGAGTCCTAGCAAAAACACAACCTCTACTCTTTGTCCTTACTGTGGTCTCTGTCCTCACATTCTACTCTCACCACATTTAGTTGATCTCCACTCTGCTGATGTTGTGCACCAGTGACATTTACACCCTCATAAACTATGTGGGATTTATCAACTACCTCTTCTATGGTGTCACTGTCGCCGGGCAGATTGTGCTGCGCATCAAAGAGCCTGACATGTATCGACCCATCAAGGTAAAGACACAGACAGAACAACTTCATGTGGACCCAACATGCAACACAAACATTTAAAACCGTTTTAGATACTGGTGTATATTCCACAAGCACTGTACAATATATACTGTTTATTGCCACTGTTTTTACAAGGCTGCAGAGATCATTTTCATGACCGCATGTGACTTTATTTTGTTTATACTTTTAACACCTATTTTATGTCCGCATGCTGAAATCTGCTGTATGGATATTTGAGGTTTTACAACACCAACCCCTCATCCTCCAGGTGAGCCTGATATGGCCAGTGATCTACCTGCTGTTCTGGGCCTTCCTGCTGGTCTTTTCGCTCTACTCTGAGCCAGTGGTTTGCGGTATTGGTCTGGCCATCATGATGACTGGTGTCCCTGTATATTTCCTGGGAGTCTACTGGGAAAACAAGCCACAGTGTTGTAATATTACTATTGGTAAGGCAACATTATGGTGTCTTGCATAAAAGAGTTCAAGACTTTGAAGTTGAAAATGTTGTTTGAATTCTGAGATGCCTGCAAACTTATCGTATCGTCTATGCAGTAAAGGTACAGGATTCATAAAATGTTAACCCAGTTTGACACAGAACATAATTACAGAATGGTACAGGGTATATTAATTAGGATAAATGCCAACCAATGTCGTTGAAATTAAGAATTTCCATGTTTGAACCGTTTATCCTAATTAATTATATGGCCTCTCTTCATCCACCAACCATATCCAGGTAAAATGACTCATCTGTGCCAAAAGCTCTGCTCAGTGGTCTACCCAGTCATGGAGGAGAACCTGGAGCCCATTGGGCCTCAAAAGAACGATGAAGATGGGGAAGAGGGAAAAAGCCTTCAAACAGCTGACCAAACACGTGCATAAACAAGAACCGACTCATTTCTCACTCTCTGTTTGGGGAGGTTAGCATACATATTCACCTGTTGTTCTACAACACTGGACTTGCTCTGTTTCTGACTGGCCTTAATTCTGACCATTGTTTCAGTGTGCAGTCTGGGAACAGGTGTTTGAGGTGAAATTCTACCTAGTCTGAATTTATGAAACACTGAAATTATGAAACACCGTGTTTTTTGTTTTTTTTGTTTTTCACCTTCACATTTGTTCCTATTGTTTGTCTACAGTTTGTGGTTTGTGTGTGGGAGGTAGTGGAAACACTAATATGCCAGTTGTATGTATTGTTCAAGCTCTGTGTTTATAGTATCACCTCACTGTAGTAACACTAAAATGAATTGTTTTTTTCAGATGGTTTAATGTTTTTTTTTATTTTTATTCTCATTTGATTAATTACATCTGTGTCAAACTACATTAATAATTTATTTAAAAGTTCCCTTGTTCTGTTCAGCAGAATGGATTAGTTCACATTTAGTCCTGTAAATATGAAGTGCTACATCTTCTCCTAAAAATTTAAATTAAAACAATCTTCCATCCTTGCAGTTCCTGAACAGGAAGCTTATGATAGAAAATCAAATATTCCTAAAATGTCTCCACACTATATCTGCAGTGGAAGGTAGTTTTATCTCCTGGATTGTGTTTTTCACAGTTGGTACCTGCCAGAAAGGATATTAAGATGCCCAGTTGTCTTCATAAAGTCTTTCCCTGTGTCGTATTGTACTGCATATACTGCAGTTGTATTGTGCTGCCTGCTGCACCTCCTCATCAATGTTTCATCCACCTGTTGGAACACCTGACGTACAAGGGGCGGAGTCCACGCACAATGAGCGATCAAATTGCGGAAGTCATGGACGGGTATGACGAGCCTTGTGGGTCAAGATGTCAATTACCCTAAATAAAACGGGAAACCAGACTAATTTGTCTTCAAAATAAAAGCCTGAGTATCTGCGTGCCCAAATAATGCCATTATAATAGTAATGACATTTTGGAAACTGAAATAACTGTTTCAAAAGTAGCCCTCAAAGATTATGTTTTTACTTTGACAAATTTCTACACAAGTTATCTCTATCATCTGTTGATGAAGACCATACGATGTACCTGGAAAGCTCTAGAAAAGGTAGTGCGTGGCCCTTGAGTTAATATAATTTAGTCCAATCTGACTTCAGAGTCCCTGGAGTGATTGGCCCTTTTCAGTGTGGACAGCAGGCAGAGCGCAGGTGTAATTAATAACATTAATGAGGGCTTTGGTGCTGGGTGTGGATATTTTTGAATCCTTGGTGATGTTTCTGGAGACTCAGGTTTTCATGACCATAAGAGGAGCTACATCCTGCATAAATCATACATGTTGGGCTTTTGAAGGTTGATTTTAGTCCATGTTGCTCAAAATTGTGCAATTTAGTATTTTCACCATTCACAAAAGACATTTTATATGTCATAGTAGGAAAAGCACATCTATACTGGATTAATGATGGCTGAATTCTGTTTAGCTACTTCAGTTTCAGGGACCTGTTAATCCTGGTGTTATTCCTGTTGTCTCACTGTCACAGCTTACTGAGACACTAGAGCAGAGCCATCGATAATGCTATAAGTAAAACCTGTGCTTTTTGTGCTTTAACAAATCAAAATGTCTCTATTCCCAGCAGTAAAGGGAATTTAAAGCACTGTTTAGACATTTGTGTAGGAAAATTAATATAACAGAAAATATAGTTTAAAAAATAGTATATTAAACAGTGTGCAGCTTTAGATACACAGCTGCAACACTACCCTACAGTGCCCTAGAACTCTCATACCAAAATAAAATGTAACCACAATTAATGTTATTAATTGCAGCTGTGCTTTTCCTGCTATAACACGTCAACAATGTCTCACATGAAAAAGGCCTACTCAGTAAGCAATTCATCAAATCCTGTGTGATGGTATCTCGAGGCAACTCCCTTATATTTTCTGATTTTAACAGAAATCTTAATGATTTGATATGATACAAAATAATGCTAATAAATAATATTCCAAAATGCAAAATGTATCACCCAGGTTTTATTTTGAAAGGTGTGACAGGAAGTCTTGTGATTACTTTCGGATCCGTTTACACTTCATGGATACACAGTATTTGGGTTTCCAGCCAACTGACTGCTGCCGTGTACTGGAGGGGGTTCGGCTGAACCGGTTTACTTTTTAAATACTGGCGACTCTGTGAACAGCGTTGAGGTACGTTGTTGTTGTTCTGGAGCTGAAACCATTCACATACACAGCCGGTAATGCTAACTTAGCTAGCTCTTTTAGCTCGACAGTCTCTCACTGAGCAGGCTTGACAGCATCTGCAAGGTTAGCTGTGTGCGGTCAGTTGGCTAGCCCCTGGCTCATTTCACTGACCTGCATCATCGACCGGGGGAGTGTCATGCTAACTTGGTAGTTAACTCGTTAATTCAAATGTAGTTTTAATATAATATATATAGGTGTAACGTTAAATATTGGCAGTAACTTTCTATAAATTAAGCCGGCTCTAGGGGTAAATACCGCTACTACAGCAAGCTGTCATCAGAAACAACAGTCAGCTTACCTGACTTGTAACATAGTTGGAGTTGTTTGAGCTGATTTTGAACTGTACACACTGTAGTTGTGTGTGTGTGTGAGAGAGAGAACAGCTCTTCTAAAGATGTATTATAGTGTAGTAACAGCTTTGTCATGGCATACACACATCTGGAGCCTTTTCAGAAACAGGAAGTGAAATCAAGCACAGCACAACTCTGCATAGTGAAGTGGAACAGAGAACACTCTGTTAATGTTGTATTTTAACATGTCCATGACACACACACACACACACCACACACACACCACACACACCACACATGCACCACACAGCCATGTCTCCATCAGTACCCCTACAGGAGATGATCCGGGCCATCAGGTCAGCAAGGACGCAGTGTGAGGAGCGGGGTGTCATCCAGAGGGAGTGTGCAGCCATCCGGGCACAGTTCAGACAATCCGACAATGGGGGGCGATCGCACAACCTGGCCAAGCTGCTCTATGTGCACATGTTGGGCTACCCTGCTCACTTTGGTCAGGTGAGGGGATTTGGCTAATGCCTGTCATGGGTTCGCTTGGGTAAATGGGGTTAGCAGGGTGGTAAACCATCATGTAGCTGGAAGATCTGGGTTCAGTTCAGGGTTGAATACAGTCCCAGTGTCCAACTACGATGTCCTAAGCACTGATCCCTTACGTTAACTGTGTGCTCAGCAAGAATGTGTGAGCATGACAGAGCTCAAAATACGAAGATAAATGCACACTGGGGATCTTTATTGATATTAGTAATGTTGCTGCTATGTGAATGTCATTACAACACTGCAGATTGTTATCAGTTCCCTCAAGCAAAGTGTGCAGCATAGAAAACCCGTGTCAAGAAAAACAGGCCACTGAATCCCTCCCAGCTCCAGGGCTGCTGCTCTGAAGCTGCGCTTGACCTCCACTTAGAACTGGCAAAGAGCAGAACATTTCCCCAGGGGCATCAGTAGTGTCAGTATTAGTAGTAACCTCACATTTAATGGAGTTGTTGGTTTTCCTACTAGATGGAGTGTGTTCGGATGATAGCCAGCCCTCGCTACAGCGAGAAGCGTGTAGGATATCTGGGGGCCATGATGCTGCTGGATGAGAAGCAGGACGCCAGCTTGCTCATCACCAACTCCATCAAGAAGTAAGGACAGCCACTTGAACTTCAAATCTCATTAAAATAGAATAAATGTTAGATCTTTTGTACACACTTTATTTTAACCCTTGTATTTAGCATTTAAAAGTTATATAAAGCTTAAAGTGGCTCCAAAGAGAGCTGCGCAAAATTGCCTCAAGTGATGTCACTTGAGTTGGACTAGAAACAAGTCTCTAGCGCCTCAAGGCTACATCAGCTACTACTAGCACACCTGAATCTCCAACCAAGCTGTTGGTGGTTGAGTTGTATTGTGGGTAATGTAGGCGCCAGGTTTTCACAAGAAAGAAGAATGCATGGGATACAATAGCTCATATCTCTGCTTCTGCTGCATCTATTTTAATCCTGTCCGACTGTCCATTGTTTGACAGTGTTGTAGGACTGCAATGATAAATCTGTGGGTTACTCGTTTAATAAACACTTGATTAGTGACTAATAATGCATTATAATAGAGTTGTAGTCAAGTATATAGATTTGGAATTAATGAAAGTTAGATAAGCATTTATATACGGCTTATGAATGCGTTTTCTGTGTTAACTGTTAAGACTACCTGTAAAAGATCAATAACCCTCAAATTTCAATTTACAGCAATGGTATATGTCACAATCATATCTTAGACAATAGTTAATTGTCATAATTGACAATAGGACACATCAGAATAGCATTTTTTGCCAAGTAGGTTTTTACATACAAGGAATTTGCCTTGGTAAGTTGGTGCATAACAATTAAGCATAGATGTAAACTGAGTGATCACAGGAGACAGAATGATGAGCTAAATATAAGAAAAGAGAATCAGGAAGTCAGTCACATTTCAGTAAAATGCTTTGCACCCAGTAATACACACAGATCAGATATACACTGTAATTTCTGTATTTTCTGTGTGTGTGTGTGTGTGTGTGTTTTCCAGTGATCTTTCTCACAGTAACCAGTATGTGCAGTCTCTGGCTCTGTGCACGCTGGCCTGTATGGGTTCAGCTGAGATGTGCAGAGATCTGGCACCAGAGATCGATAGGCTGCTCCGAGCCTCCAACTCCTACATAAAGAAGAAGGTGGGGACCTCCACTTTAGGCAGCACTTACAATATTGATATTACTACCAGTGTAATCACTACGTAAAAGACATTCTGTACTACTTTAATCATATTTAAGAGCCAATGTTTCGCCCCTCATCAAGACAAACAACATGACTAAAACATGTTGTTCATTTAAAAGGTGCTAGGATTTATTATGTCCTGCTGTTTACTAGTGTTTGGATAATGTCTTATCCATTTATGGTCAATTGGTGCAGTTAAATCTAACCTTCTCAGTATGATGTATTGGATGATTTGTGGCCTATTTAAAGCAGCTGATGTACACTTTGTCAGACTCAGTAATAGCAATAAAACGAACAACAACCTGCTGTCACCTGGTCAGTGTAGTGATGGTTTAATGGTGCTGATGACTTGCCCTGCTGTTCTTCCAGGCTGCTCTGTGTGCTGTTCACATTGTGAGAAAGGTTCATGATCTGGGGGAGCTTTTCACCCCCGCAGCTCGGTCCCTCCTTGCTGAGAAGAACCACGGTCAGTTGATCAACCTTTATAACGTAGTAATATGTTTACCGATTAGTTTCATGTTGTCTCAGCTTGTCTCGCAAGTAGCCAATTGCTCCTCAATG